TGGTCCGGGTCCGGCGGCGCCGGGTCGTGCGAGTTGAAGGGGCTCAGCATGCACGCGCACGCGACGACGGGGCCCTCCGCGCCGCCGCGCCGCCACCGCAAAAAGTCGACGGCGATCTCGCAGGTCTGGGCGACCTCCCAGGGCGCGTCGGGCGACCCCGCGAGCCGCGCGAGCGCGGCCTCGCCGACGCCGATGGCGCCGAGCGCCTCGGCGCACTCGTGGCGGAGCATCGCGTCCTCTTCCTCGTCCCCGAGCACGGCCTCGAGCGACGCCTGCGCGGCGGCGTCGCGCAGCTGGCCGAGCACGTAGGCGCACTCGTGGCGCAGGAGCGACCCGTGCGCCCGGTGCCGCATGCCCGCCTCGAGCGCGCGCCGCGCGTCGCCGCGCGCCGTAGCGTCGCGCTCGTAGACGTGCTTGAGCCAGTAGGCCGCGCGCATGCGCTGCGCGACGGGCAGGTCCGCGACCTCGCTCTGAGCCGCGGGCACGAGGCTCGCGACGAGCGCGGGCAGCGGCGGCGCCTCGAAGGCAGCCATAGTGGGGGCTTTCGCCGGTTCAAGATCAGCTTGTTGCCGTACTGGAGTAACCTAGCATGAACAAGCACCACAAATGGAAAAATGAAGCCGGACGACTTTGGACGCGCTTTTAGGCGCGATCGAAAGCTTAGAGCACGAACTACAACACCCTTGTGATGCCTAGCTCGGCCGAGTACGGCGACCTCGAGAACCCTGAAATTCGACTTTTTTTCCAGATAAAAATCGCTGGCAGCGCGTTCGCACATTAGAGAGAAACTTAGGCATCACCAGGGGAAGATTCTCAGCCCCGCTGGGCTGGAGGAGCGTCCTTAAAGCGTATCCAAGGTCGTCCGCGTTATTTTTCTAAATAACATTTAGTTTGCTTGAACTTCAATGTGACTTCAACATAAAAGGCAACTTGGGATATCGCAGATTGTTGCCTACGGTCTTCCTGACATCAGGAACGAAAACACAACGTCGGATATGTACACAGACGTACGGGGCTCGGCGTTCTCCGTCGGGATCGTGGAGTTCGTAATTTCGCCCCAGCCATCCGTCGACAGTGGCCGGGGCTCAGCGGGGGGCTCAGCGTACGGCATGGGCACGTGGGGCTGTGTTCAGCCACGAAAACCGAACCAATCGGAGAGCTTGGAAGTTCTACCAGCGGAGGGGCTCCAGAGGACTCAGAAAATGCAAAATTGGCCGCCCCGCTACCGCCCTGGGGGGAGGTAAAAATCCCCGACACCAAGTCGGTTTATGCTAGGTTACTCTAGTAAACGACTTCTTCGCGGTCGAGCGAGCTTAGGCGAGCGAGCGACGGTCCCGTCGTGTCAGGAGGCGCAGGAGAACGCGACGGTGCGGTTCGTGCCGAAGGCGTTGGCGACGACGAGGTGGCCGGCGAAGCCCGCGGTCGCGCCGATGGACGCGTTGAGGTACGTGGGCCGCCAGTGCGCGACGTAGGAGAACGCGACGGCGTCGACGACGAGGTCGTCGGCCGCGTCGTAGACCTGGAAGGTGCCGGCCTGGGCGTCGCTGCGCTTGAACGTGTCCTGGGTCGTGAAGGCGAGGAAGCCGTCCGCGCACGTCACGTCGTAGACGAGCGGCCGGGAGAAGAAGCGCTCGACGCTGTACGTGTACCAGGACGCGTTGACGAGGCACGTGCCGGCGGTGCACTCCTCGCCGCCGAAGAACTCGATCTCGACGGCGAGCTCCGACGTGTCGCGCACGACCTCGACGATCTTGCACTCGTAGTCGTCCTCGACGGACCGCGACACGGTCTGCCACCAGCAGCCGAGCATGTTGCCCGTGGGCAGGAGGTCGTTGTCGCCGTACTCCTCCGTCTTCGTGTTCGTGTCGTAGGACCAGACCACGGTGGCGTAGGTGTCCGCCGGGTCGAGGTGGACGACGAGCAGCTCCGAGTTGTTCGTCGGGCCGACGCCGACGGGCCAGTTGTTGTTGAACATGGCGTACTCGTCGTCGCCGATGTACTCGGCGTTGTGCTGGCCGGACCAGTAGGAGTCGCCGGCGGGGTACACCGTGCCGTCGAGGCCGACGATGTCGTAGTCGCCGTCGGGCCCGCCGAGCGCCCAGACCTTGGGCGACTGGTCCGCGGCCGGGTCGCACTTGTAGATCGTCGAGTCCGTGCGGCTCGAGATGACGGCGTGGGCGTCGTCGTCGACGAGCTGGAGGTGGTTGAAGTCGAGGTTCGCGGAGGCGACGCGCTCGACCTTGGTCTCGAGCTCCGTCGCGTCGCCGTCGAGCGACACCTCGCCGAACTCGTACTCGCCGCTCAGCAGCACCCAGGCCCGGTCGCCGTCCGCCGCCCGCTGGGCGTCGTGGACGTCGACCATCTCGTCGAGCAGGAGCGTGAAGTTGCCCGTGCGCCAGTCGAACTTGTAGAGGTAGCCGTCCCACGACGTGTCGACGCCCGCCGCGATCAGGAACTCGCGGTCGTTCCAGCTCTTGAAGCCGCCGGAGCCGTAGTAGCCCGCGCCCGTCGCGTCGTCGTCGCCGGAGAAGGGCGGCGGCACGAAGCCGTCGTCCCCGGGGGGCGGGCCCGGCGCCGGGCCCTGCGCGCGCCGCCGCGCGGGCCCGTCCGGCGCGGGCGCGGCGCCGAAGTCGTCCGCGGGCGCGGCGCCGAAGTCGTCCGCGGCGCCCATGGGCGGGATGTAGCCGTCGTCGAGGAGCGGGGCGTCGTCCATGGGCCCGACGAAGTCGTCGTCGGCCGCGGCCCAGGTCCCGAACGGCACGATCGTGCGGATCTCGCCGAGCAGCGTCATCACGACGAGCCAGCTGCACGTCAGCACGGCCTGGCTCGTCCGGTCCTGGCGCTGGAGGTTGAAGGCGACGTAGCCCTCCGAGGCCTGCTCGCCGATGCTCCGCTCGACGCGCTCGCGCTGGAACCGGACGACGATCTGCCGCGGCAGCATCGTCGACAGCAGCGTCTCGGGCACGTTGTAGCAGTCCTGGACCATCATCGTGCGCTTCACCCAGTAGCAGACGTTCTCGTGGGCGAGCAGGTCGTCGGCGTAGATCGTGATCTTCTCGAAGCCCACCTCCTCGGCGCCGGCCGCGGACGCGGACGTCGTCGCGAGGGACGGCGCGGCCGTTCGCAGTCGCGGCAGCTGCAACGCGACGACCAGCGCCGCCGCGACGAGCACGACGGCCACCGCGCCGCGCCGCCGCGGCGCCGGCCCGCCGATGGGCACGTAGGGAGAGGGCAGCATCACCGATAGCTGCCCATAATCATCATCAAAAAGTGAGCGGATATAATTTTCGTTGCTGTGCGGCACCGCTGCCCCAGCACGATGGTGAGAGAGCGCCCGGGCGTAGTCCGCGGGTTCCAGACGTGGCCCACGATGGAGTCGTCGTGGATGTCACCGTAGTTGTGGACGCCGGGAAGGCTGTTGGCCAGGGCGCCCGCCTTGCGCGGGTCGTTCTCGCAGGTGGCGACGACGGAGGCGCCGCCGTCTCGCAGCGCGCGCGACATGGACCCGGACCCGGCGAAGATCTCCATGGCCTCGACGCGCGGCTGCGGCTCGGGCCAGGGCGGCTCGGAGACGGCCGCGGCGCTGAGGCCCGCGGGCGCCGGCTGGGGCGCGACGGCCCGGACGTAGATCATCTTGAGGTTCCGCCAGGTCATAAGTTCG